CCCATATCGAGTACATTGAGAACTATAAACATTGTCTCCTCTCCGGGCTCTTCGAGCGATACTTTACTTCCTTTCCCTAAACTGGAAGAGGAAACCATTGTTAGCGACATTGAGATCGACGCCTAAATTTCATTCACGCCTTTCTTTTGATTATGATTTCTAGACAAGTGTTTGAATATTGAGTTTATTTTTAACTGTTTTTCAACATCAAGAATGTTATAACTAATTATTTATAAAAATTTGTGTAAATTATATGAGTTTACAGTTAGGTCCGCTTTATTTAATGAATTATAGTTTTCTATCCATTTTTTATTTTAATTTAATTTAAATTTCGATCAATTATTTATACAATTTATTGTGAATTTATTGATTCAATAAAAGTATTCATTTAATGAATTAATTGATTGTATTGTTAATTAACAAAGTGTAATAAAGGGTAATAAAGGGTTTGTGGCGATGAATATGATAAATAGTTACCAGCTTTTCGGTTTCACAAGTCATCCACATTTAATTGATAAGCGTATGAATCGAGTGGACATTTAATTTGAATACTTTTCCATTAAATGCACCGCAATTTTAATAAAATAGTAAAATAAGCAAACAATTAATTCAATAGTGTCCACTTTTTATTATCTAATACTGGATTATTATTATTATTATTATACTGTATAGCGTTTGACCATCAACTTTACATTAGTCCATTAACACCTAACTCACCAACTCCCCCTCCATCAAATTGAGGGATGTGGCAAAAATGATAACGAGTCAATGGTAACTTTTGACTCACCTTGGTAAATTAGACTTTTAATCAATCACGACATTGAAAATTATTGATTAGCCAATACTCATTAGTAGTACAAAAATTAATTGTAATATGAATCTCAATTGGCCCACATGTTACATGTGGGCCAATTAGGTATGCGTTAACATTATACCATAAGAAAACATAGGCTTATAGTCTATAAGTTATAGATTTAACATTTGTCCTGTAAGGACAGTATACAGTACAGCGCAGACCTCATCGCAACATTTCTAATGACAGCACAATTTCCGGATTATCTAAAGAACATGTGATAAGATTAACATGTTTTGGACGTCCAAATCGATAAACGGTCATAAATATCGTATTTCTGACCATTTTTCACAATTATTTTGTGTTGAATTGAAAAAAGTATGTTTAAAATATTGTTTATTACTAGGGATGGAGACATGGATTTCTCTATACGACAGTCACATAGAATTTAAAGGTATTCCTAATTGTATAGTAATTGCAATTGCGTTGCCAAACATACAGGAATTTCCTGTATTATACAGGAATTTTCACAGAATACAGGAAGAAATTCTTTTGTACATTGAAAAATACAGGAATATATAGTTCAAAGATATGCTGTAATACAGGAATTTATGGCAATTTTCTCGCATTTATACAGGATTTTCAAAATATATGTTTGGCAACGCCAATAGTAACTTTAATACTCTTTACAGTCTAGACGGCAGTTTCCCCATCCATATTTGTATTCTTGCACATCAATAGCTAATAGTTTATTAGTAATAAAAGTTATAGACTCTTATATTAATATTATTAGTATCAACAGCCCATGGGAAGGGGTTGTTATTATTTAAACATGGTTATTGTTTGATCTAGTTAATTTTATGTAAAGTTATATAACTTACAATAAATATGGATAGTTTATGAATAACATGTACACTTTTTATAGGATTTACACATAATTTACTATAACATATTTATTGAATGTTAGTTGATTTTGGACAATCTTTTACACAATTAAATGTTTAACTCGTATTAAAATTCTTATTTAAAGTTACTGTAATCTGTATGCAAATCCATATAACGATATAATCAACTAAGTCAAATCCGTTCACTTGGGTGGACACAGCATTAAACAGTGTGTTATAATTTATACACTATTCAGAATTCATTCAGATATAAAGTACACTAATATAATGAGTGGGGTTTAAACGCATTTATTAAATATTAATGAACTTTTATATGAAAATTATTTGTAAATATTTAAGAATAATTATTAATCATGGGCATTAGGGTACTAGATGACTGCAATTATTGTAACGTTTATAATGAAAAATAGCTGATTAATAAACTTGATGATTCAAAAACCACGTCTAATTAATTTTAGCCCCGCCATCCCTCTAACCATACATGGATATAATATATAGCCTATTCATCTATTCTGTACACTACTATTGTATAAACGACTGCTCGCACTAAAAGTTATATTGAATATTATATTGTATTGTATATATTGTAGACGAGAACGAGAATTATTACTCATATTTTGTGGGTTTGAAAGGAAACGGAAGAACAGAATTTGAACGGAAGAGATGTGAACATCAATATAATGAGAGAGTGAGGAGAATGGGAGGGATAGGGAGGCATAGAGTTGTAGAGACAGTGGTGTAGACATAACCGAAAGCTAAAATCTTTTAGCAATGATAAGCTCAAGAGTTGGGTTTAGTTATGATTATGTTATGCAAGTGTCGGACAAACAGAAAGAGTAAAAAAAATGATAAACTGAGCGAAAGTAGTGAAAGACTCGCTGAAGACTGAATCAAATGCATGTGATATTCATTTCCGCGGACACAATGGGTGTTCAATGGGGTGTTTAAAGGGGGCCCTCAATGGGGCAAATGCTCTATTCATTACGATCTCATTGTTGTCTTATTGGTTAAACAAACTGCACTTCATTTGTACAATAAACACAACATTACTATAAAAGCAATTTATTTAGATTATTGTAAAAAAGAATTTTTCGACCAAAAAATGTTTTCTTTGAATTTGAGTTTTTTGTATTAATAGAAGCCATAAATAGGAGACAATTGAATAGATATTCTCAAATGTGATCCATAAACGAGTGAATAATAATAATAGAAACGCCAAACTATAAGACATTGTTGCAGAAAGACATGCATTTGAGTGCATGTCTGGCAGTGGTATATAAAGTATATATAATATAATAGCACAGAATATACAGAATATAGAGCCGAATGTGTGGTGGAGTAGAAGTGGTGTGTCTTATAGTGATTGTCATCGTTTTGGTGTTTAGTTATTGCAAATGCAAACACAGCATGAGTTCGAGCCTTTCGCGGACAGTGCCTCCACTGGACAGACACTCAGTGACGGAATGCATGTATTGTCAGACTCGGCCGCAAACCATACCATTCAACGCACACTCGCTCTCAAACTTCAGGCTCTATATTGACTTCAATTATAAATTGTTTTTAAATATAATACTACTGTAGTTATGATATACTGTTATTTGTGAGTCACTTCATAATGTAAATGTATTAAAACATATTATGAGAAAATTGTTCATTTGTTTTGTTAGGAATCGATCTGTTTTTGGTAATACAATGAATAGAGGCCACTGTGAGGCTGTGAGGCCTGTGAATCCGCCACTGAGTTATAATATAACTGTTTTTTGGTGNTGAAGGCCACTCCCATTGTTTGCAACGCTATTGTTATGCAAACAATAAAACGATTGTTTTGTAAACAAAAAACAATTTATTAATTGAATCGATAGACAAGTGATTGAATGAAAGAGTAATCAATTGAATGAATGAACGCATCGTTTAGTTATGCATTGAAATGAAAACACAAATCGCGAGTCAATTGAAGACATAATTATCAGTGAATTAGTGGTCCTTTTGGGACCAATTGTGTGGTAATTGTGAGCACTTGTCGTCTGTGGCGGTAATGGAAGCGTTGAAGTGATGGCAATGAATGCGTTGAGTCTATACGTGACCACTTGTCGTATGATCTTTCAGTCGTCGTGTCAAGACATGGGCGCCTGGGCTGACATCAACCGACTGGTCCTCTACTTAAGACAGGCCCTCACCTGTTGTGTGTGCGGACAACTCTTAACGGTTCCCATGTCTTCCACCATCAGCTCGTGTCAACACCACGTCTGTAAGGCCTGCGTCGGCGGCAAAATGCGGTTAAAGCCCTCTTGCAGTTGGTATGTCTGGCGATGATTGTCTGGTTTGTGGTAATGTACTGATGATATGCTGTATTCCTCCTCAGGTGCAAAGATCACTCCAAGTTTGTGGAAAACACTCAGTTAAGAATTCTTCTGCAGTGTTATCGCAATGTGTGTCAGTTCATGATGTCAGCCGATCTGCACCACAAGTGGGGAGACCTGACCAGCGGTTCCGCCTCCGGAACTAACATGAGTTTCGCCGAACTGCTCGAAGAAGGCGCTCAACTCGACGATAAGTACAGCTTTTCAGAGCCGCCATCGCTTAGAGGGTATTCCCGATCGACGACAGGAAACGCCCGAATCAATGCCCGAAACGGACAAATGGCCAACAATTCTAACATTAATACCAATTCTATGAATAACTCGAATAACAATAAGATTACAATTAATGGGAATTCAAATCAAAGCGAAACGATTGGCGTTAAAGAAAACGATAGTATTTTGCGAAACAATTGTATTGAAAATATGACAAACAATACTACAAAACATACACTCGTATTAACGTCGGCCCCGAAGACCGTCGAAACGGCAAACCACTCGACAGTTGGTATGAGTACTCACGCCATACTCACCAACGGGTCGTCTCTCATACGAAACCCAAACACGACGCCATCGAAAGTGAAGGCCAAGCGTCGGGGCTGTCGATGCGGTTTAGCGACTCCTAATCCCGGGAAACTGACGTGTTGTGGACAGCGGTGTCCCTGTTATGTCGACGGCAAGGGATGTTTTGAATGCAAATGCAGGGGTTGTCGTAATCCTCATAAACACAACTCAGCCAACACTACAAACGCACCGATGAAACGGCCCACACATACACCACAACCGCCGTCACTACCCGTTACTGTCAGTGTGAGCGCAACCATGAGTCCGACCCTCTCGTCCAGCATTTCGGGCACTTTGAGTCCCAGTTTGTCGACCGGATCATCACTACTGCCCATATCGAGTACATTGAGAACTATAAACATTGTCTCCTCTCCGGGCTCTTCGAGCGATACTTTACTTCCTTTCCCTAAACTGGAAGAGGAAACCATTGTTAGCGACATTGAGATCGACGCCTAAACTTCATTCACGCCTTTCTTTTCATTATGATTTCTAGACAAGTGTTTGAATATTGAGTTTATTTTTAACTGTTTTTCAACATCAAGAATGTTATAACTAATTATTTATAAAATTTGTGTAAATTATATGAGTTTACAGTTAGGTCCACTTTATTTAATGAATTATAGTTTTCTATCCATTTTTTATTTTAATTTAAATTTCGATCAATTATTTATACAATTTATTGTGAATTTATTGATTCAATAAAAGTATTCATTTAATGAATTAATTGATTGTATTGTTAATTAACAAAGTGTAATAAAGGGTTTGTGGCGATGAATATGATAAATAGTTACCAGGTTTTTGGTTTCACAAGTCATCCACATTTAATTGATAAGCGCATGAATCGAGTGGACATTTAATTTAAATACTTTTCCATTAAATGCACCGCAATTTTAATAAAATACGTAAAATAAGCAAACAATTAATTAAATAGTGTCCACTTTTTATTATCTAATACTGGATTATTATTATTATAATACTGTATAGCGTTTGACCATCAACTTTACATTAGTCCATTAACATTATACCATAAGAAAACATAGGCTTATAGATTTAACATTTGTCCGTATGGACAGTATACAGTACAGTGGAACATTTCAGACCTCATTGGAACATTTCTAATGACAGCACAATTTCCGGATTATCTAAAGAACATGTGATAAGATTAACATGTTTTGGACGTCAAAATCGATAAACGGTCATAAATATCGTATTTCTGACCATTTTTCACAATTATTTTGTGTTGAATTGAAAAAAGTATGTTTAAAATATTGTTTATTACTAGGGATGGAGACATGGATTTCTCTATACGACAGTCACATAGAATTTAAAGATATTCCTAATTGTATAGTAATTGCAATTGCGTTGACAAACATACAGGAATTTTCACAGAATACAGGAAGAAATTCTTTTGTACATTGAAAAATACAGGAATATATAGTTCGAAGATATGCTGTAATACAGCAATTTATGACAATTTTCTCGCATTTATACAGTATTTTCAAAATATATTTGTGGCAACGCCAATACAATAGTAACTTTAATACTCTTTACAGTCTAGCCGGCAGTTTCCCAATCCATATTTGTATTCTTGCACATCAATAGCTAATAATTTATTAGTAATAAAAGTTATAGACTCTTATATTAATATTATTCATATTAACAGCCCATGGGAAGGAACTGTTATTATTTGAACATGGTTATTGTTTGATCTAGTTAATTTTATGTAAAGTTATATTACTTACAATAAATATGGATAGTTTATGAATAATATGTACACTTTTTATAGGATTTACACATAATTTACTATAATATATTTATTGAATGTTAGTTGATTTTGGACAATCTTTTACACAATTAAATAATTAACTCGTATTATAATTCTTATTTAAAGTTACTGTAATCTGTATGCATATCCATCACAACGATATAATATACTTTATAGCCTATTCATCTATTCTGTACATTACTATTGTATAAATGACTGCTCGCACTAAAAGTTATATTGAATATTATATTGTATTGTATATATTGTAGACGAGAACGAGAATTATTACTCATATTTTGTGGGTTTGAAAGGAAACGGAAGAACAGAATTTGAACGGAAGA